GCCTTCTGGGGTGAGGCATGAGTCCAAAATGCATTGTCTGTGGGTCTGTGGGAGACCACCAAGACCACCGTGTGAAAAAAGCTCCAGAGTAGATTGCTGCTGCGCAATCCTTGTGTTCTGCAAGCCTTCTTAACTCAAGGCTACCGGTCTTGAACCGTTTAACCTGTAAAATATTTGTGCATAGGTCTGCTGTTGATCTATAGTCTATAGTCTGCTGGCGTCGTTTTGATTGCCAAGCTAATCTCTGTGTTGTCATGCCTCCCATTTTGAGCCTCGAGGGCCTCGAGTCCGCTGCAAGGTTCAAACATGCAGCTGCTGCACATGCCCTCAGGTGATGTGTTCGACACTGTAGGTGCCATTGTCGGGTCCAGTCGTACCGAACCTGAGAATGTACGACTGAATCCTGAGGGATGATACTGCCATCCATGATGATCTGTGAATCATGTCTCCGTCATTTCGATGGGAGGAGGAGCTGCTATCACTTTCGAACCCAAGAGGATCCCCTTTGAATTCACATGACCATTCTGGGCAAAATAACATACCCATTCCTGGTACACCCAGGACATTTCAATCGGGATCCAAGAGGTCATTGTTCGATGTTTCTTGTTCACCAAGCTCTGACTGCTTGCGTCATCCTGGGCCACCTTCACACCCGCCCGACTGGCGACCGGTTCATGCAGAACTGGTGAGTGAACCGGGTCGCCCGGTGTGGAAGCAAGTCATATATAGGACACAACAAGTCATATATCCCAGACACTCCATGGGACTGCCATATATGCCTACATTGACCCCCAAAACCACCCCAATGGGGCGGCATATGTGGCAGTCCCATGGAGTGTTTGGGTATAGGTTCTCATCCCACACCCGGTGCGACTCGGAGGGATAGTAGGTCAAAATCTGTGCGATGTGAGAGACCCAGCTTTCTCATCGTCGAAACCAATTCCTCACGTTGGAAGACCCGAACTCATCGCATGAAAAAGGCCGTCAAGCCGTTTTCAGCCATGGCGGACATGCAGTGTCCGACGTGTCCGACCATGCAGGACAAACTAAAAGGAGACAATGTCTTGATGCGACCTGTTTGGAAAAGGTCTTTGGAACATGGGTCTCTTTTTTTTGTCTGTGAGTGAAAACATATTTTGCCACACATCATGAAAGAGTGGAGAGAGCTCCACAGCTGCCGGCCATATGGAAACCTCCAGATACCCATTCGTGATTCTCAAGGCTCTTTAAGAACATGACTAAGTAAATCCATATGGGTGTGTATTTTAATCGGGAGATTTCACTGGCCCTGGCTGGGTAGACTGGTCTATTTACCTTCTTTCAGGGGGTCTCTGAGAATTCTCCCTATTTTAATACACACCCATATAGTGCCATATAGTAAATCATAGTAAATCCATGAACAAAACAGGGTTTGGATGTCACTCAGCTTTTCAAGGCAAACGTCTCCATAGAGAAAACGCCCAAAACACCAGCGGGAGTCACCGACGGCCCAAAGCCACGCATGCCAGGACAGGCCTTGTCTGGCTCTACCACTTTGTTCCTCGGCACAGGTTTCCACCGGTTTGTCGGAACAGTTTGCAGTTTGTCCTGATTGGGGCGATGCTTCTTGGGGGAGAGTATCATACGAAGATCTTGCACAATTAATTATGTTTACATAGTTATAATTGCGCCTATATAGTGATTTATATACTATATACCTTCATCGAACATGATTGAACGTACAAACCACACTGACTGATACTACGCTTGTTTCTACGTTCAGACTGTCTTGTGAAGCACCCAATTAAAGAGATTACGACTCTTACCAAGGCCCAAGGTGTCCTCAACCTTTTGTATGAGTCGCGATCTTTTCTTGAAGCTGACACAATTCGGAGTCGAACAAAGAACAAACAGCATGCACCATCCACTACATGTGAAAGAATGCTCATGTAGCTCTATGTTGTTCATGGAATGACTACTCCAGCAGCCACTGCATCAGTTGGTTCCATAGCGTAACAAGCCAACTCGCCTGGCTCGGGGCTCCTGCCTCGCATCTGCTTGGTGTTTACTCACCATGGCCCTCAGTGTCAGACCACCGTTGGGGTCGCACACACACACACACTCTGCGAAGTTCATCGACCATTCAGTTCGTTGGACGTCTTCTTCACAAGGGTCAACCAATACCCAAACACGACCTGTCTGGGACTGCCAGTTCGGACTGCCGATCCAGACAGACCGGGCCCCGAAGGGCCGAGGCAGTCTGGCAGTCCGGCAGTCGCAGACAGGTCGTGTCTGGGAAGATTCCACTATAGCAAACAGGGTGTTTTGTTCCGACATTCGTTGAAGCTATAGGTTCGTTGACGTTCGTTGAAGCTGCTGGGAAGATTCAGGGAATCAGTCTCTAAAAACGTTGACATTCGTTTGACCATGGAGCTATAGCTTCGCTCACCGGTCGTCTGGACGCGGCGCCGTCGTGCACCGAGCCGCTCATTCCCTTCAATTCCCTTCAAGCTGATTGAACACAAATCTGTAGGAAAAACATGATACCCTAGGCATCCACATACCTTCTCAGAGGATACTGACTTGTACTCTCCAAGCCTACATACTAGTCTCCATTCACCTTCTCAGAGGGTATGTGGATAGGATTGGGGTAGGGAATGGTGGTCTGGATGATATGCCATCTTGGGCCACCCTCTTCACGCTTTGCAGTCCAACCACGGTCGCTTCTCCCGGTCGCTCAGCTCTCTGCGCGAGCGAAGGTGGTTCCTCGTTTCGGTCTCCACGGGCCGAAACCGTGACGATGCACTCCGCTGACCGTATCTGAAATCATCCATTGGTATATACTTATATAAGTATAGAAGAACAACAAACCAATACTGTTGTATACTTAAAGTGTTTTTTTATAACAACAGTTTGTAGAGGAAGAACGAAAACCGTGGGGGGCCATCCACATCCAACATCGTGGATGGCCAAACCCGCGGGGCGATCGACTCGATCGACTCGATTGGCCAAAGACGACCACTCGAATCGAGTGGTCTTCTCCTCTACAAACAGGGTGTTTTGTTCCACTTCCCTGATTTTTTCGAAGAACGACACGTGGAGGTTCCTGAGGTTTGAGCGTTCGGAATTGAGCCGTGGGAGCCCTTGGATTGATGAACACATCAAATGCGTCTTTTCGGGAATGAGGAATGAGGAATATATAGTTATCAGTGATTATATGTGATTATCATTGATTATCATACTTGTCCATATGTTGATGAGAATTGGCCAAACAAAAGCAGGTTCCAAAGCGAAGGTGTGCGAGTTGACCATCCGGCATGCCAATCCTTTGACTCTTGCCGATACAGTTGATTCTGCTGTCTTCCCACTTGACACTCGTCTGCACGGTACCTTCTAGTCTTCCCCAAAATACGATCGTCCTCATCAGCTTGTGAATGCACTGTATAGCCTTTCAAACGTCCCCAGCAAGACACTATGTGTTTTAGTCATGTTTAGTCTATGTTGGGCGAAGTCCTGTGGTGACCTGCTTCTTCTAGGCAACCGACTAGGGTAGGACATCTCTGGACCTGAGCAGTCATCTCAATGGATTCTAAAACATCCCAACTGCTCACCTCTTCCACCCACCCTCCCACTCTTGCCCTGGCCTGACCCATGGCGCGGTAGAAGTCCCGGCGGAGCACCAAGAGGGCCTGCGCCGTGTCTGTTTTAGGCGGGGAGACCCGCAGTGGCTGTTCGACGGAGTCGCGCAAAGGACGGAGAGACCGAGATGGTGGTTTGCAGTTTGCAGTGCCAGTTCTGGGGGTGTCCTTGTATACCATGGTATACCTTCTGATCTAGTTCGAGCCTGAAGGTATGGAGAATGATGGAGAATGCGTAGATCCATGTAGATCTTACCTTCAAAGGAAGGAAGGTAGGGAATTTTCTGGCACCTCTCACGAAGACCAACGCGAAATGCAGGGGGAAAGCTGGCAAAGTTGTCACCTCGTGGGGCTGTGATCATATGTCATCCTGTTGCTTCACAGTTTTGCATGTCTTGCTGGCTGCTGAACCCCCTAACCTTTGGCTTAGGGCGTGTTTTGCTGTGTCCGGCGCTTCCCTTGGCGTCCGACGCTTCCCTCAGGTGGCATTGGGGTCCAAGGTCGGCAAGGATGACGCAGGTTTTTGGTGCACAGCTACTGGAGCGGTGTATGTGTACCTCCTGGTGAGCATGGCCATGTCTGTGTAAACAAATTCACCTTTTGGGGGGCACTGGCGGAAACATGCGGCAGCTATCTTTGCCACCACGAGACCAGTGGGGTAACAAGTGTTCCTCCGTTTTCGATATGAGCTGCCAAAACCTGCTAGAAGATCCGTCTACATCCCTGCGAACAAAAGCCACCTCCCAAAAAAGGCATCAAGACCTCAACAACAAGGGAGGCTTGTTCAGCTGATGTCAAATTGTCACATGTTTCTCTTGTCAAACAGTTCTTCATGGGCGTCCTAACCCAAGGATCAGGTCTAAGCTCAGCAAATTCATCCTTTTTCACAAACTGCGCAGGACAATGGACCATCTCAAATGGTCATGAGTCATGTTGGAAGGGCAATGCCAAGGAATTCATGGCTCTGCCAAGGAGTTTGCCACCGAACACTTCTCATGTCGCCAGATTTGGCTCAGCCTTGGCAATACCCAGCTACTGTCATTGTCAAAGATCACCACAATCCGATCAGGACTTCCTCAGCCGATTGCAATAGGAATGGCCCTTTTGAGAACTTGCTGTTGAAAAACCCATCGCCATCGGATGTGATCGTTGGAAAGCATCAACTCTCAAGGTCAAGGTGCTATCAGCGTACATGAGAAACAAGACTCTTGACCAGTCTGTGCTTTCCCGGAGCCCTGGCCTCAGGTTCTAGAGCTTGAACACCGGCCTATACACACACTTCGCCAATTTACGAAGCACCTTCACTTCAGCGTGTTCCCCCCACAGTTTCATTTCCAAGATGCCCGGCGGTCACTATTTTTTTTTTTTACAACGTCGCAGCAGTCATTCAGGCTGGAGAAGAGCTATGGCCTTCAAAGCAACATCAACAAAGGCCGGCCAAATCTCCGTCTATGACTTTTGCGTGGAGGTGGTCTCATCCCCAGGAAAAACATACACATGCGCCACATTGGACAGACCATGGCACGACAATAGGGGTCATGGATGTGCAAACAGTGGTGATGGATATTGTTCTATAAAGAGCAGGATGGTGCGAACAAGGTCAGGTCATGAAAGGTCTCGCCAGCTAACCCCACATGCACAGAATGATCTCTTGTGTCTCTTACCCAGACCATCCATGGGACAGGCATACCTATTAGATTGACCCCAGGTCAACCACCCAAAATGAAAAAAAGGGCCAATCTGTGCGAACCTGCCATTCCCAAACAGGTTGCCAAACATGTGTTGACTCCGAAATCCTTTCTTAGGCGACTCGTCGGAACACACCAAAACGATCCGTCCCTGGCGGACACCAGGGCTCCAACCACCTTCGGATAGAGTTGGAGCCCGGTGCGTTTGGTCAAACCGCTCGGTGGCCCGGTGAAGATCCCTCATGAAGAGGCTGAGGGTTCATGGGAGGAACTCTTGATGGTGAAATTAATCCATCTTCATAGGAACTCAGGAGGTTTCATCAAGAGTTGATGCATAAATTTCACCTCCATCCTATGCCATCCTATGCCCTATATTGTAATGCCCTATAGGCATTCCACAGGACCCTCCGAAAACGGCGCCCAGACGAAGCATCGAACACGTCACCGAGTCGAACATGTAGATCCATAGAACGAAGAGTTTGAATGGGCAAACGATATCCACCCTAACTACCCTAAGGATCCACACCCTCAAAAACAAGGGTTTTGAGGGTACAAACCCTTGTGAACTAAAGGGTTCGACCCCTTCTAAGGAGGGTCCAAGGATCCTTAGGGTAATAGCAATATGCTCCCCTCTACGGCCAAACTTTGTCAGGGCGCTTGCCTCTCAAAGGACTGGGTTAGTCGACGGTTCATCCCTGTCCAAGCGAAAAACAGAAATCACTTGTAATTCCAATCGTCTGGCCCTTCTAACCAAGCCTTCTTGGTCTCATCCAGTCTTTCCTTCAGCTCAAATAGCTGCTTCTCCTGGGATTGGGCACCCTGCCCAAGAAGGACTACAGGGGATGGTGGCCTATGGATATCCTATGGATCCACCGCTACCTTCTGAGAAGTTGGGGGGTGAAGTTGAAACTCCTACAATTTCAGGACATGTCTGGATACGCTCGGGCATGCTTTGATGAGGAACCCGCTCGAGAACAAACTCCTGTCAGCTTGTCAGAAATGGTGCGATTACTTGTTCACATCCCCTAAAGCCATTAATCATCACTAGGTCACTAGATATCGATCACTATATTTGTGTCATTCTATATAGTTGCTTTACAGCGCTATCAAACTCCACACAATGTGAGTCTTTCACACTGACTCAAACTGTTTGCTCTGGGACAGCGACCGCGTAGACCCCCACGACAGCGAACGACGACAAGAACGACCGGTCTTATGCGATAACGTCGTCCTGCAGTTCCTGCTCTTCTTGCAACCGGTGTTGAAGCTCCTGAAGGGTCGGGATTGATATACACTCACTCAAGTCAAGAAGTTATAAGTCTGTGGTCGTTATATGTTCATCCCGCTGCTGGTGATGTAAGAAAACTGGTCAAACCTAGTCAAGCGAAAACAGACATACCTGCAACACACCTGCAAAGAAATACCTTCACATCCACCGAGGTATTCCAACAACCTCGTTCCAACAACCGCCGGTCCGACCAGTTGGACTCCGTCTCGACCCGAAGAACCGGTGCCCAAAAAAGGTCCGGTCACGACGGCGGGTCTGTGGCTGTGGCTCCAACAGCTCACACTTCAAGAAATGGTATTTGGTTTCAGGGCGGATCTGCGCCGAACGCGAGCCAATCTGACATTTCTTATATTATATGGCTCTATTCGCTCTATTGCAGGTATTCACACATCTCAACAAAAAGGTACCGGGCGCTGTTAGCCATCGGCTGGTTTTGGGTCATCTTGAGTAAAAACATGGGGTTCATTTGCTTCAAACATCGGGTTGAACTGGCATGTTTAAACGCATTCTTTGTGTTTCATTGCGATTCACCAGCATTGCGATGAAAACCAGTGTATAATTGGGCGGGTCTGCTTTTGGACAAGTCAGTGTTTGTTTCTCAGCATGGGGGCGTTAACTCGTGGATTTTCTTGTATCTGTGGTTCTTGTAAATTGAAGAGAGCAGTTGTGAACGTATTTTGCTTGACACATGCAAAGTGAAATCCCTCGAACATGTTGAGGCAGGCGTTTAATTGAAACCACAGGTCTGGGCACCAGGTTGTGCCCACCGCTCCGTCTTCTCATAGTCCTGGCTTCTGTTTGAAACCTTACTTGGCTCCCTTACTTTACCAAACCATCCACTTCTATTTGAATTCTTCTAGTTTCTGCGGATCCGAATGTCACGCCGCAAGTCAACCTGGCCAACGCGTACAGTGTGCACGTGTCACGAACGTCAGCATTCCCACCTCCACAAGACATCCAAACACAAAAAAATATAGTTTGCTCAAACAAGACCCCCAAACAAGCCAAGACCCTTTCCTTGGGTTATTGACACACTCATGTGTTCGGTGCATAGGTTGGAATCCATGGGTCCTGGCAAAAAAAATAATCGTCCAAGTCAAAACACATCTTAACAACCCATCCCTAAAGAGTCCGCCCACAGGATCATATGCTTGTTCATTCTTGTTCTTATGCTTGATTTGATCATATGAGTTGAAAAAAAACGTTCTAAAATCATTATCCTAGGTTGAAATCACAGCAATTCCAAGCGGTGGCCATCATGTACCCAACATGCGCTCATGTATATGGTTGTATGTTGTGTATGCCCTTTTAACAGCTGCGTTCTTACTTACAGAGTCCAATGGTTCCAAATGTGAAGCTGAAAGTAGCCATCCTCTTGCACACAGAAACAAATTGCCAAGACTATACACCCTGGAAAGCACTTGGACAAGTGGTCAAAGTTGCAAAGGGATCTAGCGCGGGTCTAGCGCGGATCTAGCGCGCTTCCCTGCCAGTGCATGAGGCCACCAAACGTCTGTGATCAAGAACTCGCTTTCTCGTCTCTCAAGCAGTTACTCCCTTTCAAACAGTTGCTGCCTTTTTCAGCGCGCGCTGCCTTTCAAACAGTTGCTGCTCTTGTGCCTGTGCGGGTGTGTGTGTGTGTGTGTCACCCCCTGTACCAAAGGGTTCAATGCCACGGTTTCCACCACAACCACCCCACAAGGCAGGGGGGCAAGGCCTCCAGCGACGAACCTTGTCCAACGAAGCTAAATCGCTGGAGGGGAAGCACTGAGAGACGTCTCGGTGTGTACCTGCTGAGTTCTCCACAAGCTGTGACCCTACTTCTCCACTGTTTGTTTCATGGTTCTTCATGCTACCACCCCCAAACCTCTCCTTGCAGCTGTGCCGCGCCGACGTTTGACACCGCCGATCTTGTGAGCTGCAGATGTGCACCAACCTTTGTTAAACAATACCTTTTCACGGACTCTGCCACCTTGCCGTTCCATCGCCACTTTACCTGGGAATTGAGTGTAACTGAAAACCAATGTCAGAGTGTGTATGTGCACCAATGAGTGACCGTTACAATCAGCTCTTGTTTGTTAACCTTTTCTAAGTTACCTAAGTACTTGATCCTAGCGCCAAACCTAGCGCGAACCTAGCGCAACCCTGCGTTTTGCTAGCGCGACGAGGTAACATACCCAGTTTAAACACCAGAATACCAAGCGGTGGCCAAGCGATTTCTGAACCTCTGGGAACATTCCTTACTTAATACATATTCCCGTTTTTTTTTTTTTTTTTCGACTCATATAAGTTCATGATTCTGTTTAATCCACTCACAGCCTCCATCCGTCCTCCTCACGCTGTGCCTTGCAGCGCTCTTCGGACGCGCGGAGCGATGCCGTGGTCTCGGCCAGGGACTGCGCTCGCCTCTTGTTCGCCTCTGACGCTCATCCGTCGACGCTGACGGTCGGCCTTTTACGGTGTTGGCCCTTTGGAGCGGAAGACGGGGGCCCGGTTGTTTCGGCCTTCAACGGAATGACCGGAGTGTGGTTCCAGGTGCTGGAGTTTCTCTTTCCTCTGGGCGTTTTGGGTGATGGGAATGTTCATGGATGTTCGATGTTTTGTGGTTCCAAAACGCTTTGAGCTGCTGCGGCTTGGCGAGATCCAGTTTCCGGCGGGTTCGTTCGGATTACCCCACCATTTCCAGTTCGACCGCGTGTCACGGCGAAGAGCAACACTGGCCTCCACCTTTCCACTCATCTCCATCCTCTTCCGCCGAAGAGCACGCTGTTGCTCCTCAACGACTGAGAATGACGGTGATCGAAGAGAGCGTCAGCGTCCAGGTGAAAGAGTACAGTACCTTGGGTACTACCTTGGGTATGTATCCCACTACAAGTAGCAGTGGATGATGGTTAGCTTGCAGGCCTTTCTCTTTAAATAGTGATGTTCTTGCTTACCGACTGGTGCAGCCACGGGTACTAGGACAAACACAACGAATACCTCGTTTTCAGGCTTGATGTACGTAACTTGATGTTGATAGGTCGATTTGAAGCATCGACCTCGCACACCAACCAATCAACATCCGTCAACCAAAACCAGCAAGCCGTTTGCCAAGAAAAAAAACCATGATACATAAATCGATAACATTGGGGATCGCATGCATGTTCCTTTTCAACCAATCAAAAAGAAAGCGAATCCAAACATAGACCATCATAGACCTCTATGTTTGAGCAGAAACAAATACATCTCTGTCCAAGTTCAATCACCAAAAACCTTGTTGCCGCGATGTTCTTAACTCAGCACCGAACGGCAGCGACGCTCCAAAACGCTGCCATCCCTGACCCATGAACGGATTCTGGGAGACTGGCGCAAACCACAACTAGACACCACGTGGACTACCTGGCAAACGCACGAACTTCGTGGGGCGCAAGAACTTGCGTTCAGCGCCTGGCAACACACTGGACGAATGTGAATTTGTATCTCAAAGCACCCAACAATTCTTCACGTCTTCCTCACTGGTCCCAGTGGTGGTCTCACACGTTGTTTGCCAGGCCTGGGGTGATGTTTTGGGGCGGAGCTTGGTCTCTGTTGCCTTCACCCGAGACCTTCGCTGCCTCTTCAGTCCCGTCTTTTCGACAAGTCTCTTCAGTCCAGAGGAACCTGGACTGCAATGACTGTCTTTGCAGGAAGTATTGACCTGCCAAATCGCCTAGGGCGAGGAATTGATCGCTCCGGATCGATCGCTGCGGCTCGACAGCTTGGACTAGACTGGAAAACGCGTACAGAATCGGACGAATGAAGCGGAATGAAGTCGGACAGCTTGGTCTAAACTGCAAGTTGTCCGACTAGAAGGAGACAAGTTTAGATTCGTTTAACAGCTTGGAGTTGATCTCTAACAGCTTGGTTTGTTGGAGATGCGCGGCCTTTGATCTACTGGATGATTCCAGAAGGATGACTATACTCGTTTCTCAAGTGCCCTGAGGTTTCAGTGGACACATTCTTGTCATTGTGGTTTGGAACGCCCAAAAACGATCCCATGGCGCACTGCATGGTTGTATGATATTTCAAACCAAGCCAACAAATGGACCCAGAAATGACCTCTTTGCGCAAACTTACCCTTAGGCTTCCAACCACCATTAATTTAATAGGCTTATCGAACTATCTTTGTTTTACTAAGGATTTTACAGTACTCACAAGCTTCGGAGAGATGCGGCTGTTCCATCAGCCTTGTCAGCCGAGGCTCCAAAAGGGAGGCAGCAAGGCTCAATGGATATGTTGCCCAGATCAGGTTCCAGTCGAAAGCCGTCCATGGAGACTGGTCGCTGGTTTTCAGCGTCCCCCGCCCAGTCACTCGCACAAACGGCGATCGCAGGATTTCCATAGATTAGAAAGGTCAGCGGAATGGCCATGAAGACGTCAAGGCTGTAGTGCAGCTTGCTTCCTGAGAAAGAACCACCCGGATCGTGCTGCTTGCGAGATTTGCGAGAATGGACGGATCAGCAGTGATGAAAGTGCCAGTGTATGAAGCATCTGTCCAAATCCATTGTCAAATACTCCACCCGTCTTGCGGGTACTGGGGTCTCAGTTTGTGTTCATGTGGCGCACAGACAACAAGAATCATGGCTATATGGCCATCTTAGAGTCAGAGAATTCAACAATTTCCAGACACTCCATGTATGCCATATATGCCTACATTGGGGTGGTTTTGGGGTTCAATGGGGGCGGCATATATGGCAGTCCCATGGAGTGTCTGGGATTGATCAACAGTTCCTAAAGGCGTCCAACCTTCACCGGACCGAAGCCTTCGTTCCCTCCCAGAACACAAGTCCATCGCCTGTCCTACGCTGCGTCCTTCGCTCCTCTGCCCGTCCGCGCGCGAACCTTTCTCCCTCTCCACCGACCCTTTTTAACCGCGCGTCCGACGGCCAACGTTACGTCGGCCATCAGAATGGCCCACAGAATGAACCCGGTGAGCGCCAGGATCGCCGCACGCCGTTCGCGTCTTAACTCGGATGCGACGCTTTGGGCCACGGCATCCTGAGCGGCGTCTGAAGAGATACACCAGAGAGTTCTGGTGTGACCTCCCTTTTACGACACTGACCTGTAACCACCTTTTTCCGTGCTGGTTGGTTGGTATATTTGTGAGGTTTATTCTGTCTTTTGGGCATGGAGATTCCTTCAGAACATGTTGTCTGACTGGGACCTTCCCCCCAAACCTGTCTACTATTTTCGCTCCTAAAGTGAAACGTCTTTGGATAAGATCCCAAAAACAGATTGGGTGGGTGCTTGGGAAATCAACGAATTACTACCAACTTTACCATGAATTTCTCCTCGACCAACCCATTAAGGTTTCCCAACGGAAAAGACCCGGAAATCCAGAAACATCCGAGAAGAACGCTGCTGTGTTTTGGAACATGGTGAAATCCAAGGGGAAGTGGAACGAAGTGGATCACTGTCGTATTGGGTTTCGTCCTGAAAACAATGACCAGCAAGACGGCAACCCCTAAAAAAGATCTGGGATCATCTGCAAGAAACATATTCGACTTGGACAAGAAACAAACTGCTGAAGATGGATTGGGGTTCGATAAGCATGGGGATGCATGGGCATGGCATGGGTGCTTTCTTGATGGCATGGTGGTTGGTTTCTTCCTGAGACTACCCAGTTGCAGAGGGATGATTGGAGAGTCATCCTGAGACTCATCCCGTTCACTGAGCTTCAGGGACCGGAGGTTCTCCCCACTGAGCTGAGCTGGCTGGTGCGCCCATAAGAAATGGAGGAATGAAAGCAAGAGGAATGAAAGCGGATGTGAAGTACGATGGTGAAACTGATGGTGAACATACTGTAATATATTAATATATATAGTGTCATGAGTGAGTGAGGGAGTGAGTTGAGTTGGTGCGAACTGGCAAACAAGTTGAGGACAGCCGCAAAGCGCGGCGGCCGAAGGGAAAGCATCATCAGAAGTTCCAGCAAAACGAAGGGAAACACTCAGGTTAGGTTAAGTGAACGTGATGAGCGCACGGGGTGTTAGTTGAGTTAGAGTTGAGTTGGTGTGATGTGTGAGATGAGTCAGTAGGCGGAAGGAGGCGGAAGCAAATGAGAAATATATAATTATAGGGAAACATCACACCACCTGCACTGCACATTCAAAAGTAGGATCCTCAAAAAGGAAGAAATACACATGCAAAAGCACTTGATCAACCGTCCCGAGCATCATAGGCACCCAGGCACACCAGTACAGTTGTGCTGGTGGAGCAGCAAAAGACTGTATCAGCACACAATTGCTGTGGCGCTGCACGTCCCAGCAACCAAAGGCTTTGCACAGTGAGGAGAAAGATGTCCTCAGATTAGCTCGGGCACAAACACCGAAAGTACCCTAGGGCTCCAACCATATCCTCAGAAGGTGGTTAGACCCCCCAAACCTACCCCAACCACCTTCTTAGGAGGTGGTTGGAGCCCTAGGGGTAAAAGCCTTGAGAGGTCTCTTTCAATGATGGACGCAGGACGCTATCCGAGCTTCGCAAGAAAACACATGGCGAGTCAGTACATTTGAAACAGTGAGATCAGTGCGGCTCACGTCCTCCGTTTGAACTTGGGAACCGACTTGACACCAGAACCCCTAGACGAGCTAAACACTCCAAGCCCCCTCAAAACCTAGGGATTGTTGGCTCTTCCGGGAAAAAGACACCAGCAGGTCTCCAATTCATGTTGCAAAAAAAACACCTTGGAGATGCTTTCGCATCTCTTCAGGATGTTTCCTCCACATCGTAGGGATTGCTTTCGCCCGCCCTCGTTACCGCGTGGTCGCGGAGCGGCGGAAGAAGAGACACAGACCAGTTGGACCTTCGCTTCAAGGCCTCCCTCTTGAAAAAAAGGGTCACACACACACACACTACACCCAAACTAATGGTTCACACTTAATTAATGGTTCCCGCAAAAAAAAAACGAGAAAAAGCCTTGGGACTTCGCGTCCCAGAAAAGAGCAAGGAATTGGCTTTGGAGACCTTCGGCTGTACCTTTGGCTGGCTTTGTCTTAAGCGCAGCATAGCGGGTTGACATAGAATGAGAGACAAGAAACCGAAGCGAACTTCGGTCTGGCCCAGGGGGCTTTTCTTCTGTCGCCGCTTCAAGTGGAAGCGTTGGGGGGTGAGAGCCCGATTTCTCGTTCCTTGCTCCAGTAGAGCATCACCCTTTGAATTGCTCCAGTAGATGAAAGAAACAGTGAGTTCAGCTCTCTAGAAAGTGTTGGCCCTAGTCTATCACCCTAAGAATTCGGACCCGAAGCAATGTAATATGGGGTTAGGATCCGCACCCCTGCAAACCTGGAGAATTCGACCCCTGCAAAGGGGTCGGGTCCAAGGATTCTCCGGGCAGGTTTCTTGCTATAAGATTCTATAAGTCTTGCATTAAAACACAAGGAACGTCTACTGAAAAACAAAGAATCGATTCAATTCCAGTGGTTTCAAAGTTGATGGCACCATCCCCAAGTTCGGTTGTTCATATGGACCCATCTATCTAAAACATCTTAGAGGTGCCAGTGCCATCTATTATGAAACCACTGTAGACACATGTTTCATCTCGAGACCCACATGACCTGGAGCCGTCAAAACGGTTGGCCTGAGCTATCCCGCTTTCCGGGCCGGTGGTCGTTTCTGGGATTCTTCGTCCAAACCGGCCACACCTCTGGATTGATCAAAAAGGTCGGAACTATTTGGAAGCCAACAGTGGACGAATCACTTGAGCATGTCCAGCTCTCGGATCCAAGGACCACCTCATGTACAGAGCGTCCAAGTTGGTTTGGATTGATGAGTCGTGTCCCCGAAATAAAGGCTAACCGTTGACCTTTTCCACCTATGACATATTTAAACACCATCCCTAACATAGAAAACAACCCCTAAAAAAAGAAAACACACCCTATTACTATTACACATTTGTTTTTTGCAAAGCAACAGTTCTCCACTGACTGGGTAGAACCAATGAGTTGAGCGTCGACTCATTTTCCGTCAAAACCGGACCCTGGCACTTTGGATGCCTCACTGAACCATGAAAGGATACCAAACCATGACTATAGTCACTACAATCTTGTACCAACATGTGTATATAAACATGTAAAAATAGTAGTTAGTTAATATATAATATACAGCATTATAATGCATTAATGGATATTAATAGCGCTATAACAACAACATTGAATGAACCGATCGCGTTTTATAGCAACCCTACGCCGTCCGACACACTCACCATCGGTCAGTCACCAGGTCCGTCCCTCTGCCAGGAGGCCAAAATCGAATTCACGGATCCCAGGGCTCCACCTGCAAAGCGAAGCGACGCGAATGCTTCTCCAGGGCCCTTATGGAGTGGTGGGGGAAGGATGTGTTTGATGGCTTTTGGGCTCTGGGTGAGTGAATTTGGGGGTTCTGGGTTCGGGAAGTCACTGGAACATGGGAACACATGACACAAAAACCCATCCAAAACCCATTTTAGTTGGGGGACTCCCTAGTTAATACAGAATCATAGTGGTCCCTCTACACTTGTGCTGATGGATCTTTTTGAGGAGACACTTAAAACATCTCAATACAATCTACATTCAGCAGATTACCATGAAATCCCATGAACAATGCTTGTATACGTCCAGGACTACAATAGTTCCAGTCCCAGAACATGGCCAGGATATGCCTGGCTCATGTCCCACCAGATCCCGCTGTTCTGCCATCTGGGGTGCCCAACTGTTCTGCTCACGGAAGTACATCAAGCCATGAGGCCCTAAGCGTCTCTGACATCCTGGGACGCCGCGGACGTATCCATGGAGACCGAGAATAGATACTCATGAAATTCTATAGGGGTTGCAAGGGTTTAGGGGAACTCCCTGTTGCTCCTGCACTTCTCCTGTTTAATACGGAAAACTCGGGCTCCTCAAGCCCTCCTGAGCAACAGTGAGCCTCATATCGCGAGTGTGATTCCGGATGGGCATGCCACCTCATGCAACCTGGATGACTGAAATGCTTCAGCAAGACTCAGCCCAGTTTTGCGCATGGTTCCGTGAGCGCGAGTGGTCGGGAATACCAACGGTCCGAAGGTCAAAGAATCTCTGCGACCCAAACACACGCGAAGGACTCCTAAAAGCAGTTCCGGAGGGGCACTGCGAAGACCGAGCAGTAGCATGTTCATCGCAGCTGGGCAAACTCAAAAGCACCTGAAACACATGCTCAGCACCCTCCTACACACCGAGAACTCCAAAGCACACTGCTTTGGACGACTGCATTCTCCTGCACAGTATTCTCCTGCCAGCATATGTGCCCTTCTGAGAAGGTCTCTGAATCCCTTAGGGCCCAAATCAGGGGGGTGCAGCATGACATCGTTCCCTTCACATCCATCATCTCAGGTCCCTCGTCCGGGTCTTCGTCTTAGGCTCCCATCCATCCGGTCGCATCCGGCAGCACCGTGCACCACGCCAGCAAGCCCTTCAACATCGCCAAGACCGTGGCGACCAGCGCCAGGTGGGTCCAGCTTCCTTGGTCCCGAAGATCACGCCGCCCGCCGCGACCGGGACTGGGCACGAGCGAGAAAGAACCGAGAAAGGACCAGAGTGCTGAAGGAGAAAAGACATTGCACGACACCTGAGATGGATCAGATGTAATCCTCGACCTAACACGGAAATGCATGGATGACGAGACACTTTGTGTGGTCTGAGGCCCAGAGTCTTCAACCCGAACCAACATTGCTTTACGGATTTTACAAGTCAACGCAAGCGTCTTGAAACGATCTCTCAGTTGATCACGGAGTGCCGGTCGCAGTTCGGTCTCATTCTCTACAAGTCACGCAGGTCATTGATGCGCACCAGCCAAATCAGCAGTGAGATGACCACCTCGCGGGTGATTGGACGGCTTTCGGGCCAATGAGGTCCAGTTGATACACCAAGTGCGGGACTGCAGTCGATTTTCCAGTACAGAACGGTACCCTTTGACGAAAACACGGTTTTGGTCCAAAAGGGGTCTTTTGAATCATTCCACAAAAGTAGCACTACTAAATGGACATCCTCCATCTTCTTCATTTTTGGTGCCTCACACGGGATATGCTTCTGCTTGTTTGGGGAACTAACTCCTGTCTCGATTGGAACGGCATAGCATAGATTAAAACAGGCCTCAACATTCCAAAAAGTGCCACATCATTCCCCGTCCATCCCTCTTCTTTTTTTCTCCGAACTATCTGCATTGGACTGACTTATCTGCATTGGGGTGGTTTACCCATGCAGGTGACCAGGTGTGAGTGCTTTTCTTCACTCTTCAGGAGACTGGTCTGGGACGTGATTCAATTGGACCAATATACCCATACCAGCACGTTCGGCGGCACCATGGAGGACGATTCCATGCCCCAAACCAGCCATGTATGGAGTATACATTGGTTTCTAAGAGTCTATTCTATTACCAGTTAGATGATGATGATGATGATGATGATGATGATGATGATGATGATGATGATGATGATGATGATTAGTAAAGCAATACATGTCTACTGACTGTTACAGGTAATAGGACAACCCCCAGGAGTATATATGCCTCATTGAACCCCCCTGGCACCACCCCAATGTGGGTAACATATGACAGTCCCATGGAGTGTCTAGGATGGACACCTCCTGGATGATTCAAAGGGGCTTGACCATCGTTTCAAACAGAGATGACTTTGTTCAGGTCCATCGAGGACCACACGCAACAGTGTGGCTCGATCAATAGGTATGCCAAAAGATGCCACAAGGAACTCTTGTTGATGAAACTCCAGGTCTCGAGGGCTCAAATTATGGAACACATCATTCCTTGGTGACTCTTGAGTCCTTATGTTTTTTTCCCAACGTCTTGGACTTAAACCATCTTAAACCCACTGTCAAAGGATCCAGCCCTCCAACACCGGTTTTGGCCAACCGAGACCCGCGACTGGTGGGAACGACCGGTGGCCCCAAGCGGCACAGTCTGTGAGCAGGTCGACCCAAACTTCAGGCGCCCAGCTCAAACCTGCGTGAGAGCAGCTGGATGCCGTGTGAGCAGCTGGATGTGGTTTCGCTCAGTGTGAGCGGCGTTTCAAGTGGTTGTTTGTTTGCTTGTTTGCTTGTTTTTTGTTGTTTTCTCTTTTTTGAGCCGGATGTCCTGAAGATTTGAGGCCATGGGCGCCGTTTTCAAGAGCTAAGAACTTGATTCAGGTCTACGTACTTTGTCCGACCCCAGATGAATTGAGGAGTCCCCCGCAACATCCCGCAACCCAAAAGGCTCACTGGACCCTCACAATGGGCATAGCCCAATGTTTTCCCTCCAAAAAGAAGCTTCTCCAAGAATCCCCCCTCTCGGGCGACATACCGCCTGAAGTAGATGAGATGAGCTTCGAAATCTCGCTTACCCAACCATGTCTGGGTGGCAAGAGCATGTTCAGGTCTAGAAGCCAGGGGTTGCTTTGGTCCAGACAATTTTCTGCAGTATGCACGCATGAAGTAAACCTTGATAAATTAGATATGCCTCAAGCCAAAGAACATGACCGGAACGCAACCCCTCTTGAAGACACCATTTATGTATCACTCACACCCACATCCAATCTACGAGGACCATCCTCTCTGGACTACTGGACTACACTGATCAACCATGCATCCGGGAAAATCCGAGGAGAACCAACTGAGCTCTGCAACATACGTACTCGCATCACTTTCTCATGCTCCTGCTTACGCTTGCCATCGCTTGTGAGCTTACGCCACCACGCTTACGCTCCAAGAGCTTACGCAGATCTTACACGTCTCCGTTGACTACGCATGAGAACCATATCCCCATGCGAACGCGCGACGGTCATATTTGCACATGTGCGGGCAACATAGGAACCTACGCAAAGCTTACGCAGCATGCATGTCTCACATCTACCTTACGCAACCCTACGCTTTTCAGGTGTTTGGTTACGCCCAAGTTCCGCACGACAAGGGCACTATATATTATAATATAGTTCATCTTAGTTCATTTTGGGAGGTTTCTTGTGGTGCTCAACTCCTGACAGTCGACCAAAGCACCGAATGCTCAGTCGTGCCTTCCAGAGATTCAGCCAGTTTGGACCTCTTCAGAAGTCTGTGCAAAGGATCATCCAAAGCTACTGAAGATGGCTCTCCTCAGAGAAGCGTGGTTCCCCTATTTGGGTGTGTATTCAAATAGATCTTCCAGCGACCCGATTATATGAGTTTCCCCTATTTAAATACACACCCAAATTCACTCACTCAGGACCAGTCTTTTCCACCAATACAGGAGCGATCATGAGTGACCTGAGCAAACTTGTGGCCAAATTGAAGTTTTTCTTTGCAAGCTCTTACTTTCATACTGGTCTATGGGTTTTGTTACTTCAGAATACTTCAGGTATGTGCCATCTAATTAACTTGAATTCTGCCAGAAAATCCAAGATTGCATTGTGAGGGGAATGTCACATGGGTAAGATCACGGATCAAAACTCCGCCAAGGGCACTGATGGTCGTAGCCACATCACCTTCTGCAGCATCAGCCCATTGCAAGTAGACACAGGTGGCCGAATAAAGGCCTCATACCCAGACACAACTCATGGGACCAGGAGAATTGACCTATACATTCACAGGTTTGTTCATCTTCCAATCTCCCCACCCAGTAACTCGACCGACCTAACCCGTCCCGTCGTTGCGGGGAGTGGAGGAATTCTGAATTCACCTTTTCCAATAAAATGGGTCAAATCGACCCCCCGGAGGGTTCGGTTATAGAAAACAAACCATCCCCTAATGGATGGATTATATACTTTTAGCGCTTAGAACTATACTTAGATTCTAGGTCCCATGGATTTCAGGCTTGGCTCCAGGCGGATTTGGCTAGCCATGAAGGTTCGTGAACCTCAGAAAAGACCATGTCTCCTCACTGGCCCTTTGCAACATTCCACATGACGTGCCCTTGGCTCGACGTGCCTACAACGACGTGCCCCGCTTCAAGTGCTGTCAGATGCTGCCTGCGTTTTGGCAAAAGAGCGCCGAGAGCAACAACCCGACAGGCGCCAGCCACTTCTGCAAGCCGGCTGGCTTCATGTGTTCGCGATCGGCCAACAACGAATATTGATTGCCATGGCCAAGGCCCAGCATGAATGATCCAATCAGGTGACTTGTTTTTTTCTCTTGATGCATACAAATGTAGTGTACATGATGTACACCATGCTGCTCCTGGATGATGTTCAGATCACAAGTTCATGCCCTTTGTAAGATCCCTAGAAGTTAGATTGTCTTGGAGACCGGAAATTGACCACTGCTCAGATATCTTTTCTTTGGAGACAAAACATAAAATATCGTTTATATGACTGGCAAACGGTCCTCATCATCTGGGATTTATCTCTATCGTTCTCGGACACACCTCACAGGAACGGTACCAGTGCCTTGGACGTCAAGTGACGCACGTTGCCAGTGCTTCCGCGACTGGTTTGCCAGCGACGGCTGGGCCAAACACGCGACGGCTTTGATTCTTCACCAGTGGCACGCCAGTGCTTGGCCAAATGGGGCCTAGGGTGGCCAAACCAGGCTGCCCGTGCCGATGTTGTATTTCTGTCTCGGCACTTGAACTGTGGGAGGGACTTCCCAACTTGACGGCTTTGCAAGTGCCATGTTTCGATATGTTTGATTATCTACGCATGTCTGTCGTAGGAACCGACGCAAAGCACATCACTAGAGGCAACCGTGCAAAAATAAACAGCGTTTGGGACAATAAGAGATTTGCCAAGAAAGGCATACCGCTCTGCCGCTCTGAGAACCCCAACCAAAGGCAATCCAAATGGACCATCCCCCCACAGGACCATTCCGGACCTTCGACCATTGTCCCAGGAGTTGGGGTTTCAATCCACAGGGGGATAATGCATTTTTGGAGTCAAGGACGTCCCAAAACATCCTTCCACACGCTTCCGAACATCAATCTGCGCTTCCGGGGTCTTGATGTTCGTCCGTTGAGTCCATCCCAAACGTCTCCTGTTGAAAGAACATGTTTGGCGTATAAATATATATATATGTAATAAATATATTATATATATATATTCTTAATGTTATATATTATATATATATGTTTTTTTGGATGGTGAATTTTGATTTCGAGGCCTCACGTGGTAAGGACTTCAACCCTGACACCAACCTTGCAACCAATTCGTACAACTTCGGTGCCCTGCGGTCGCGGGCGAAAACGCCTTTGACAATCGTGAAATTGAAAAAACATGTTACGGAACCGGGAATGAAACCCCGAGAAGAGTCAGCTGGCCTCTTTCTGAGTCTTCAATTCTTCTGCTTCTTTTTCAAGGTTTGCCGCCTGCGATGCCGCGAAATACGCAGGTCGCCACAATCCTTCTAGCAATGCGGCTCTCCAGCTGTCGAGATCTTGTTTGACACCATGTTTGTTTTAACTTGGTATGGAGCCTGTTATACCAGGGCCAAACCCTCATACGGAGGAAGGGTCTGGGCGCCTCTAGGGGCCTCTTAAATCCTTGGTTCTCGAGGCACCAAGGGCAGTGAACGGAGCATCTTAGTATACTTGCAGAAAACCGACTATCTTTGCGTTCTGAAAAATCCGCACCTCGACCGAGTCGGCTGCTGTGACACCTTGGTGGAGTCAGTCGCTCTGCAGAGATGATGGAAGTCGGAATGAAGGAGTTAATTTCATTGAGCCCTCCCAATGCACCCGGGAAGAGACCGACATGGAACCTGAAAATTTTGGACCTTTGGAAGACGGTTCTCCTTTTCCACGCTAATCTTCCCAAATGTAGTTATCTGGAGCCTGGATCTTAAATTTAAGAGTCCCTATTTAACTTAATTCAACTGGGGGCTCATTGTGGCTCATTTCCATTACGGGGTTGAGGTAGTGGAACCTTCCGGTAGTGTATTGGAGGGGTTCTCTATGCCGGGTAATTGATAGAATGTACAACGCATTCAAAGCAAGCAAAGCCGTGCTCAACAGCAAGCACATATTTCCGGCTCACAGAGTACCTGCTGCATCTTGCTCGAGCGCAAACTAGTGTGTCCCTTGCCACACTATACCCACAGGGCCTTTTGACGCAGCACCAGGTTGCATTGCTCAGATTTATGGTCAAAACTCCAGCCTTCTTGAGGTGAGATCCCCTGTTAATGCGTGTGCAGTTAGAAAAGCTTAATGTTCAGGTCACAAGGTGAGAATTCCCAAAAAACTATGGACTCTAGATGCTGAACCATAAACACATCAAAATCGGAATTACCACACGCTCTATACCCTAGTCCCATGTAAGTACATATCCAATTATCCTCACAGCGGGTTTGGCTGCTCAAAGCTGCAGTCGCAACACATGATCTTTTATCTCCAGCACAGATAGCAAGAGATATTTGTGGGCAGCTGCAGCAACTTGAGCAACACCAGCACGCAAGCTTCAAAGCGCACACTGCTGACAGCAACACCCTACAGTGGCAGCAGCACCAACACCCAAGCTCCAAAGCACATGGCCAAGGACATCCGGCAACAACACCCTCCAGCGGCGCCAGCGCCCAAGCTCCAAAGTGCTCACAGCCATGCACATCTCGCAGCATGCAATGGCACCAAATGCCCAAACTCCAAAGTCACACGGCCACGGACATCTCGCAGGGACACCAGCTCTAAAAGGCACACGATCGCACACGGCCATGGAGCACAGGGCCATGGAGATCTCGTGGCACCAGCAAAAAGTCACCAGACCGGACCCAAGGAACCGAGACACAGGCACAGTCTGCAGAGCGTAACCAAAGGCACAAAGCGGCTGGAGTGGACCCAAAGCACGGAGACACAGTGCCTCTAGAGTGTACCCAAAGGCATATAGACACTGGCGCAAAGCACCCAAGGCACCGAGACAAAGGCACAGTGCCTCGAGAGTTCAAAGGCACCGAGACACTGGCACAAAGCCGCTCGAGTGGACCCAAGGCACCAAAACACAGGCACAAAGCAAGCACTGCAACCCATACCTCCCCTATTCAGAGGATTTCGCAACCACAATCCAAAGTGCAAGCGCTTCCTTGCGCCTCCTGGCTGGCAGCTTGTTTGTTGGTGTGGTGTAGCAGGAGTGAAAGAACTGCACTGCCCACAGCAGGCCCCAGACCGCCCTACCGCACCACACCAAAAATCCACAGTCAGCCCCGTGACACGAACGATGATTGCGTCGACAAAAATATAGCGGCCATGAATCTCCGGTCCACGACGCACATCTTCAGCGTCAGTGTAGATGAAGCCCAGCGGCTTTGCCAGCGATTCACATATGTCGCAAAATGGGCTGCTTCGACAGCAACGCCATTCTGCTTCAAGAAGTGCTCCTGCCCACACCACCGCAGCAATGCCAGCTTCAATGGCTGACTCAATGCAGGACTCACCGAAAGCCCGCGCCAATCATTGTCTGGAAAACCGAGAGACATCAACGCATCAAAAGCAAAGATTGGCGCCTAAAGTCTTCATATGCAGGCAGGCTGTATGAAGTCTGCACATGTTGGTGTGTGTTTGTCTGGCGGAGAGTTCAATCTGTGCTCTTCTCACATGCTCTTCTCTGTGTGGCACAGTTCACCTTTGGTGAATCTTGAGCTGGACATGAGGAATAGGCATAGCATAATCCCAAGTACCTATTACAAAGCACTCCCCAATTAAAAAACACCATGTCCGAAATCCTTAATACGGTTTATATGTGCTTTTAACTTACCGCCCTTTCAAGCCGCTACTAAACTACCAACATGGTCGATTTTTTGAGAGTTCTTTTCATTAGATTCCAAAAGCAACCCTAACTGCCCACCTCTGTCCACCCTGTTTGCCCACCATGACACACGGCGCGTTTACACCAGCACATGTTCCTTCCCCCAATGGCACGGACTCACGCAAACGCACTTGCCACCGAGGCCGCGCAAAATGGCATGGCACAGCGACATCACCTTTCGAAAGCTTTAGTTGTTAGTCTAATGAATCAGATTTTCAATAAAGGTTTTTGTCAAGGGAAAAAGAAGACCTTTCGATCTGGAGGTTATGTTTTCTAATTTTTGATACGCGTTTAATAGAGGATTATATATAACATTTTCCTGGGTGACTTTTTGGTTTTGAAGCTCTTCCTAGGTGTTTGCACGAAATCTGCACTTCAAGCTTCACAAAGCGCTGCGCCTGCCAGGAAATCTGCATTTCATATGTAATCAATGATTGTTCAAAAGGATCCTTTCTCTGACCTTATTTTGGACAACCCCGCTTTAAGGGACCCCCTATTAAAACACATGCACCCGAGTGTTTGTTATTAGGGGGGGCATGTTCTTTAATAGGGGAGGGGATTCATGTGAAAGAACATCTGACGCTATTTGCATATTTTTGTAACATCCATTCAACTACAACAAGGCTCAGCTACTCAAACCAAATGATGACATTTTCTTCATTCCCAACGAATCGCACCAGAACAACTCATCAAGTCGCAGTCGATGTCATGTTTTTGTTCCACCTCATGAGTCCCTTTCCTATGCAAAAGCGAAAAGGGCGTTTTGCATGTTGGTTTGAGGTTCCCACTTGCAGTTTTCAACTATATACAATTATCTGCCATGTTTCTTGGCCATTTTCTGGCCAAGAAACATGCGGAGTCGATGCATGCGACGGGCCATTCACACCAAATGGAAAACACCTTGAGTCAGGACCTTGAGTTCTTGGTCTCCGAACCTAACATCTTGAATAGATATTAATATATAATGGATATATACATGGTTCGCAACGAGACGCAACCTCATCTCCTGGCAGCTCAAAGACAACCGCTCGGCATGCCAAGGCACCACGGAGAGAGGACCGAGACAATTGCACCTCGAGCTTCTCGTTCTCGAGCTGGTCCGGCGAGCTAAAACACCGAGGAGCGAACGAGGAAAAGGGAGGCTTGGATTTGTCGAAGGAAGGGCCACAAACAAAAACACATGTTCGCCGGAAGGGGATTCACCCGTAGGGGAAACATGAACAATCATCTCAAGCGAAGCATAGCGAAACCAGGAAGGGGAACGGGCTCTTTCAGCAGTTTTTCCACGGACTTTCATTATGTCTCCACGTTTGGATTTCTCCTCTTCCTTCCAAGGGAATCGCGCTGGGCGCCTCTTTGGGGCGGTGAAGCTGTGAGAAGTCATGCGGAGATCGTTGAAGTTGAGACCCGATGGACCCTCGATATCCTCAGGTACTTGGAGGTGCAACTGAAGTTGCACTCCCCAACCACCTTGGGGATCTTGGATCTGAACACTTCTCTATCCGATCGATTCATCTCTATTCCACCGATGGAAAGTCCGGGGAAGACTGAAGAATAGTAGAGGTCACAGGTAGAGGTCCCAGGTAGATCGCGTTTCCGGAGCCTTTGGAGCCTTTGGAGGTCCGGTGTCCCCCCAAAAAAGACACGTTGAGAGGACAACATCTCCGGACAATCCACTTTGCAACCAAAGATGTTGTCCTCATGCTTTCGGAAGAGCACACGACGAGGTTTCATTGCACCAAGCCTTCACTCAACCGGCCAACCGGCTGCTCAAACCACAGCTGCCCCTCTATTCGCATCCCGGTTTCCCCACCAATGCCTGCAGTGACTCCGCCTCATGTTTCAGGCGGGAGACCTGGCAAGCCAAGAAGAACGGAAGCAGCTTTCTTTTCAATAAAAGACCAAGTGGATCCAGTGAATACTGATGCTATGATATGCTATGTAGTTTATTTGGAGTTCCAGAACATGGGCCTTGTCGGAAAGGACATAGGGAGACCTTCCAGAAAGCGCTGGTCAAGCAGTTCTGGTCTGTTTTGACTCTTTCCAGATCCACAAGGAGGTCTTTTGGGGGTCTCTCTATTTCACAATTCATATGGATCCTCTCGGAACCATAGAAGGCAGTCTCTGGACAGTCAAACACACGTGGATGTTAGGCGCTAGATCTGTACATCGACAGCATCACAAATATAGATCGAGCTCCTTCTCCTTCCAAAAACCATAAAATCGCTGAGTGAAGAGCACACGTTGGTGGACTTTTTTTTTTTGCATATGTTTGGCTCAAACCTTCCACTGATACCCTCACATTTGTTTTCCCCCATGGTCTGGGGCCCGATGCTTTGTCGACGCGGCCGAAAGGGTCCCTGGACAGCGCCTCCTTTCTCCTCTGGATCAACTCCACCTGACAGCCAATTTTTGCAAAGCAGCAAACAAATCTCAACTCTTGTCACCCTTATCATCTCCACGATCTTGTCGCACTAATCAACAATACAATTCAATACAGATTCTGTCCCCATGGCAAGGATCTTCAATTAGACAAACCCTGCCTGCTTGTCGTTGATCATTCCTCTTAAGGCTTGGATCGTCTTGTCCGCCTGCAAAACCAGCCGGGACCCACACATCGTTTTGGGGCGCCAGGAATGCGTGGCGTAAGCAGGATGACGACGGCAGGACAATGCGAAAGCAAACTTAAACCCATTCATTCTAAGCGGGATTGAGATTGACTTTCCACCCAAACTGAAAGGAGTTTGTGTGATGCATTTTGCTGATTTTGGATGAGGTTCCACAAATCAGCCCCTAGTATCCTTTGTGGCCCTTTTATCCCTCGGATCTCCAAGTGATTTCTGCACTCTTGGCAATATGACTGTCAACCGACCTGCAAATTCATCCTCAGAATCATTTGCACAACTCAAGGTCACTTTTCAGCCACTTGTGGAGACCAATATAGATGCACACATAGGACACAGTATGACTGTATGACCCAGTCTTCTCCGGCCAACCAAAGGCAAAGCCATCGAACTCGCCCCGAAAACGCGGCCAACGCGCACGCCTTGCGGAGACGTTCATCCGCCTCTGCTTGGGTTTCCCTGGCGATGGCACACACCAAACCACTGGCGGGAGAGTCCCTCAACTGAAAGCAACCATTGGGTGCCTCAACCGGGATTGATACCCTCCATCCAATATGGCCCTTATGGTTACGTGGAACATGGCCCCGAAGACGGAAGACGGAATTCCTCGAAACAGTTTCAGGCTGTATTCCACGTAGCCATGATGCTTTCAGGATAGGGGTTGGTCTTAAGTGGGTACCCCGGTAATAGCGATGCGATTTTATTGTGCTAAAATGCTGGGACCAACCCCGATGTTTCAGGTCGAGAAGAACCATGGAGAAAACCGTTTCGGGTCTTCCGTTTCGGAACACATCGGGTCCGGCAAGTCTTCCAGCGATGCTGTTTGGGTGCGACCTGCGTCGACCTGCGTCGACCTGCGTCGACCCGGACACACCGACACCCGGACTCGGAAAAAAAACAACAAAGAAACTCCCAGAACCACCCGGAGAACTTCAAGTCGAAACAGTCTTCCAGTGTATATTGAATATAACTACGAAGTTGCTTGACACTCACATCACCGCTCCCGGCTAGACCCACCTGGGTCTCTCACTGACGCGGGTCTCACGGTTTCAGCCTCTTTTGGTGGTTTTCGGCCCGTCTTTTTGGAGCAAAAGCTGTAGGTGCTCCAATCTAGAATGATAGTGTTGCACACAAATTAGTATATAGATTTTTTTAAGTATGTGCTGTGAGACTTTGTGGGGACTACCATGACTTACATGACAAAGCAAACAAGGAACCAACCAAACATACCAAGAGGCGCTTGGGTCAAGGTTCCTCCTCACACAAAAAAGTATAATAAGCGATCTTCGGAAGCTGCCGTGGATCAAAGCTCGGCCATGCTGCGGCAATGTCCACAAGTAAAATAGAACACGTCCATTTGCTTGGGTTGCTACTTGTTGACCCCTGCTTTGGGTTGGTTTTCAGGCCGTCGTTTGGGAACTATGATCAATACAAAAATTTGTCTCCAAGTTTGTGTGTTGATTGGGCCAATTCCAAGGGCTTCAAGACCTCCCAAGGGCTCGCCACCCTGCGCGTCAACTTCCTCGCGCGGATTAGTCGATGCCTGATCTCCTCTCTCACCGCTGCCCTCACATCTGTGGGCGAGGCGTCTGCCTATGGAGCTGGCGATGAGACCCCAACTCTGAGGGGGTCGAATCCGTTCGCGGCAGTTCGTGGAGCAATACCCCGAGCAGATGATGTGGTGGTTTTGTTCGGGGTCCGGATCCTTCGGGCGGAACATTTAGATCATAGAGATTCTGGATGGCCGGATGGCACGGAATATCCAAGCCCTGAATATCTATCGGCCACTGAGACCTGGTCCTTGGAGACCTGGTGCTTTGGAGTTCCCATCGTGCTGGACCGTGGAACAAGACCTACCAACTCCCAAACGCCTTCAGGGAAGACCATTCAAGGAATGGTTGACCTGGTGATGTAGTGTGAATCCTTTAAAAAGACATGCTTCTTTGGTAAAAACCAGTAAATCAATTAATGGTTGTTAACATTTATTCACCAACTCTTCCCTCTTTCCTCCTGCGCTAGCTGTAGACGAAGGTCTCCGACCTCCGCAGTATGCATTGATATGCGTATAAATTCCCAAACTCTTGACCCATTCCAAGAGATTGGTCGTATTCACCAACTCCATGAATGGCTTGGATTTGCTTTTCAGGAACCGGAAAGAAAACAAACATGGGGAACATCGAAATCCCCTTAGGGTTTTCCCAGGATGAACTGCGATCTCGCGCTTCCCTTTGAACTTTGCCTTGTCAGCATCTCTGCTTGCCTAGCACGAGGAAGTTTTAGGAATCGAGAGTCATGCTGCAGTAGGATGCAGTAGGTAGAATTGGGAGACGATCTCAATTCATATCAGCTCTTGTAAACATCCAATTATGCTACTATAGTATTTAATATTTGCTGCGGCAAATTAGTCCAAACACGGCCTTTACAACTCTCTGTTCTCCTTCTCCAATCTGCCAATTGATCGCCTCGAAAGGCTTTTCTTGTTGCCAAAGCTGCCCAATCCAAGTTCTCACTACGCGGGACATGGTGACACTGCGGCCACAACTGTTTTTCGTGAGCCGTTTCACCGTGTTTCACCCTGGCTGCCTGCGAGGAAGAAAGACATATTCCGACCTCCCTGCCTCTCCCTGCCTCTCCCTGCCACATGTGGTCCAGTACTCAAAGGACCCTCCGGTGCGGTTTGCTTCGGTCGGGTCCAATGCCCTGAAGGTTCGGTCCAAACCGAAGTGCTTTGGGTCGATGGTTGAGGTACAAGAGCCTCCCACGCCAGGACCGGCGAACACATCCACCGGTCCAGCCTCTGGACTGAACTCAGCCACCTGACGGTTTTGCTCCCACAAATGCTCCGTTTCTTCTCGGTTTCTTCCGTGGGGCGAGAACACATGGTCTTCCAGGCTTCCACCCGACCGTGAGAGTGGTCGATGAAGTTCCGTGCCACGGAAAGACCGCGGGTGTAAATGGAAAGACCGTTCCGAATTTGAAACAGTGGAACAAATAAATCACAATCAATAACAGTGGAACAGTGGAACAGTGGAAACATGTGGAAACTGGAAAAGTCACAATGCTGAGCTCTCTTTTTGGGTCAATGCTGAGCTCTTCCTAACACGAACAGGATCAGGTCTGAACATGAATTGGTCTTGACCGAGGCGATGGGAGAAAGCACCCAGTCGACTGGGTTAACAAGCTACATGAGCAGTGAAACCAGTTGAAACCCGACAGAGCTGAAAACCCAAAAGGGAACGGTGTTCAACTATGCCTACCACAGATTGACAGATCTACTTACTGACACCCAATATTGTTGAGAATGTCCATCACAGCGGCAACAAAAACATGCAGCTTTGGTATGAGTTGGGCCCTATCAAGGCTTGTGGATTATATATCATATTGTTGCACGCCAGGGCCACTTGCTTCGGGCTTTGGCAGCTCCAAGCTTCATGGACGCCCAGAAGAATCCACGAAGCTGGAACAAGAACATTATTTGGGTGTGTCATTTAATTTGAAGATCCCAGACCAGTGGGTTTGCATGGGATTGGTCCACTTTCCTTCTTCCAGGTGGTCTTCGGGAGGTCTCCATATTGTACAGTCATACACAGCAGCACTCTCTGAAATCGCACATGTACTCCATGTACTTTACAAAACCAGGTGGACTCATCCTGACGAAATGGTTTTACCTTCTTCTAGACATTGGCATGTAACCCTCAGGTCTGAGGAGCACAAAAAACCAACCCCCATCGGTCCAGTGTGACAGGCACCATCCAATTCATCACCGGCGGCACCGGATGTTGCCACGCGCGGAGAAGCTTCGCGTGGAGAAGCCAAGGTCAGCCATGCACGGCTTGCCGGGTCAAAAAGGAAAAGAACCGGATGTATACATGACCCCTCTCCCAAAAAAACATGAATAACAGGTGGATGTGTCCTTCTTATACTCGAAATCAGTCTGCTTCACCCGGCGGCCCGCACCGGCGAGCCCATCTCGGGACGCCGAGACCTGCAAGCCGTGAAGGTAAAGATCTATACCAAAAAAGGTGAATAGACCTGGACCCTCCAAGGGGTGTCCAATGGACTACTCCACACTACCTATAGGCTTCCATTGGGCACCCCTTAGAGGGTGCTGGGATGTGTTGTATTGTGTTGTTGTTCTATGTTGTTCTGTTTTTTTGAATTGGTTGAAGGGAAGTTCATCGGCCGGCGTTCCCTTCAAACACTTAAACACTTGACCGGCATGGGTGCCTGGCTGGCCGGGCGAAAAACACGGACTGTTCGTTCAGTGCCAGTTGGGTGGTTGGAGGGGTCGAATTTCGTCCAGTCCAGATTGTAAAGTGTTTCTTATAAATGCCGTTTGTCCAGGGATATGAAGGGTTCCCACTCAAAAAATCTGAAGTTGATCATGACTTTTGGATGGTTCAAAGTGGATCGCACATGTGGCTGATGGAATCCCTGGCCTTGGTACAAACTGGAATCCAATGGTTTACGTTTGGTTGTCCCCAAACCGTGTGCCCAGGTGGAGTTCTATCTAAAGATAGTGTGTATATATATAATTATCAATATTATACGATGGTTGTTATTGTTGAACATCAATTGTTCCAGGGCCCCTTGCCGTTCGATCCCCTGTTTCGACCATAGACTCCGTCATGAGGGGTTGTCAAAAATGGGTCTATACGTTTATGGTCTTATCAAGTATATAGACCGTAGAACACTCCAGAAACCATTGCATCCCTCTTCTTGAACCGGAGAAGGCCATATTTCGTATACATATCCCACTACCAGGGCCCTGTGGATGATGGTTAGGTTGCAGGTTGTTCTCTAAAATAGATTAAACGAGTGATGCTCTTTAAATGACCAACGGCTCTACAGGTTGGACACAAAGACCCTGGCAGGTCGGTGCTAGTCCAAGGGGGTCGATCTCTTTTCCATGGAACATCGACATTGGAAGAGTTCAGGCAAGTTGCATGCTTGCTTTTCAATGCAGTCGAACAGAATCTCCTGTCAGACAGTCTATAGATGTCTATAGTATACCTGCAGCCTTAAACAAAACAGTTCACATGTGACAGTTCCAACTCGCCAACAAACAAACACAGCAGTAGAGTCAGGTGCTGATCTTGGATTCAATCTCCTACTGACCCATGATAGCCTGTGCCCCTGATCGACAACAGGTGATGTGACAAATGTGGCAGTCAGCTGCTGAACACAACTGAACATCCGAAAAAAAAAAAATAAATAAAAAAAAACAAACGAACAACACAGGAAGAGACCCCAAACAATGATTCTTTCCAGGATCTAAAGGTTCTATATAAAGGTCTATGATGAGATGTCTAGAGGTGTGTTCTACACCAGGCATGTGGACCACACTGCTTTTCCGGGAAAAGCCGCACGTCCGCTCGCCCGGCACGTCCCCACTCCCCCGGCGTGCACGTCCCCACGTCCCCACTCCCCCGTCGCGGCCCAGCGACGGCCACGAGTCGGCCAGTCCGGAGGTGTCCTCGGTGGGACCGGTCGAACGAATCGAAGGCCAATGAAGCGCAAAAGAGCTTAGTGGATGATGGTTCGGTGCTTCCAGGCCTTTTCTCATTAAATAGTGATAGATGTGATGAATGTACCGACTGTTGACAGGTACCGGGAGACAACAGATTGCAAACTTAATTACATTATAAGATTGAGCGTCTTCGGGTGATGTGTTCCACAATTATTCTGAACTTGTTTTCGCCGGACCCAGGCTAACTCTGAGAATCGTAGGCTAACAACAAGCAAACAAAACGCAAATGAAAAAGCACACGCAAAAAACAGCAAATTCAAAAAGCACAAAAAGACAAACGAAAAAGCAACAGCAACAAAGAGCGAGTTCAAAAGCAAAAACAATTTTTCACGTGTTGTTTTTCGTTTCGCCTTTTTTTTCGCATTTGTTTCGCGTGTTTTTGCTTGCTATGTTTTCGCCTTTTTGCTTGCCCGCATTTATTTCGCATGTTTTTTGTTCCTTTGTTCCGCCTTTTGTTCGCTTTTTGTTTGTTTTTCTTTGCTTTTTGTATTTGCTGTTGTTTTGCTTTTGCTTGTTCATGTTTTTTTTGTTGTTAATTTGCTGTTTTTTTTGCTTGTTGTAGTTTTTTTTTTTTTTTTTTTTAAAGATGCGTTTTTAGTTTGTTTCTTTACATTTGCAAAACCATCAGAGTTATGCTAAGTGGTTAACACAAACCTAAACATGTACGAAAATGGTCGCGAGCATCACGCACGAATCCTTTCAGGTGAAGTCATCCGGGGATGAAGTCATCCACCCGCCCGGATTCGGCTTCCGAGAACTGATCAATGCAGTGCAATTAATTTGCACTGAGCCCGGAGCTCTATGGTGATAATATGACATATGTGATAATCAACCATTAGCAACAGGACACAAATACTCAATACACCCACAAAAATACCCACAGAATGTATATAGATCGGCTTAACATCATTCAACGTGACTGAACAATAGATCCAAGCCACTTGCACACTGGAAGACCCCGGAAGTTTGGTCCAAAGTCCCCCAAAAGACCACCGTTTTCTTGTTTTTGTCCGCGACCGTTGCCTCGAGCGAAGGACTAAGCTGTGAACCAGTTGTGCAGAGGCCTCGAACGATCGACCAAAAACGAAACGACAATTTGGTCACCGAGATAGAGTTGCATCGAGTGAAAGAACGTGCCAAGTGTCAAGATATGCCAAGTAGAAAGTGACAAGTTTAGGCAGTCCCCCCAACTTTAGGTAGTTTCCGCTTTGAACATGAAACAGCAACTGTATTGTTATGTTTGGGTCCCCCAGATCTTCAGGAAGAAAGAACGATCAACAATCTTTAAATGGGTCGGGCCGGAATCCATAATGGCCGGAATCCATAATGTCTTCTTGAAGGTGTAGATCTATGAACACTATAATGTAGTCGTGACTTCCGATGGAAGCAACCCAATGGCTCTCTTATGCTCTCATCCTGAACGGGCGAAGCCAACTTGCGTTCCCACCGAGAAGAATGGATTTACCTAAATGTCCAGCCAATTTCGTAAAAACCGCTGGATGGGATCTCCCCCGGATTTTGTGACCAGAACATCTGACTTTGAGTGGTTTGGGTGGTGCTTTGGCTTTCATCCCAGCTCCACAAATATGATGATCAATTGCTATATATATATATAAGAGCATTGCATAGCATTGCTATATAGAACAGGTCTCTGTTTTGCTGGTGAATCCATCCTCACTGTTGAATGTCCACTAGACACATCATGACACATCCAACGACGGTCCAACGACGGCGAAAACGAAGATCCTGCCTGGCTGCTCCGCACCTCTCTGTACAAGGCCTACCGGGACATGGCACGATGTTGTCAAACATCCAATGGACCCTCCATATCCCTTCATCGCAGGGGTTCTATACCAATCGAAATATCCTCAAAAACCGTGTTTGGATCCTTAGGGTAGGATCCGCCAAGACTGGAACAGTCAAGGCCCCTTTTGGTGTCTCACACTTGCGAAACGTTTACAGGCCCGCTTCCCCAAACGCGACCAACTCCCGTTTAGCGACCAACTGGTTCCAGGGCGCCTGCAGCATTCGTGCATGCTGGCTATAGGACCTAAGCAAGCAAATGTGGCTGTGCATGTGGGTGTAATGTTCAATGTGGCAGTATCGCACTAAATCAGATGGGGCAGGGCGACCAACTGGTTCCCTTTTAAGTTATTTTCGATCGTGGTAGCCTGCTGATCCAAAGGCACTGCAAGCGGTTGGCACCCTGTTCGCGGCATTAAAAAACTATATATACACCTATATTGTGCCTCCTTGGCTGCCATGTCTCAAAACGACAACGAAAACGTCGATGCCGGAGTCGCGCCCGTTGTCGTACCAACCGACTCCCGTTGGACCGATCCGTTGTACGACTGGGACCCGACACTGGCACCTACATGTCTCAGTGCCTCCTTCCTCACCGTACCTGAGAAGGTAGGACTGGATCCCAGGCTTCGAAGGAATTCGGGGACCGGTCACATCGGCTTCGGACAAGACCGGACCGTTGACACCGGGTGGGGCGGACCGAGCTTTGACTCTGCGGTCGCGGACAATAACTTTGATGTCCCAGGTGAGACGTGTATTGAGTCTGGGGAGAATCCCATCACCGGATATAGAATGACGATTAGGTCCTGAGTGTGGATCAGGTCCTGTGGACCATGTAGTTCAGCAAAACAGCCGGCATGGGACAAACCCTATAGTATACAGTAGCTCTGGAAAGAACCATCTGCACTCTATCCAGTATGCGAACATCCAACATTGAAATATCACTTCAGGCCACTCAACACATGTGGGCACAGAAAGCCAAAGCAAAGGACTTCTTCTTCCACAATGGTGAAGAGTGGGGCCGGGGACGCGCTGTCCCTGCCGGGTGTGGACGCAGCAATGTCAAGCAATGACGGTGCCTTGAAGTCCACAGTAAGACCCTGCAGATTTTCACATTGATCGTCCACTCCCACTGTGGCTTTGTCCTTGCCGCTCTGAAATCCCACACAAATCCGCCAGGCCTTCGCGAGTTCAGGTGCCACCCGGGCAATGGTATGCTCCAGCTCCGCTGGAAGCGCAAAGTCGAAGCCCTTGCTGCCAGAGCAGCGAGGTCCAGCCCGAATGAGGTCCCCATCGCCTGAAGGAACCACGCAAAAGATCCGATCCGACTTGGAGGCATAGACGGCCCGGCGTGCAGCAAAGCGAGCCACATGAGAAAAGCCACCAGTGTCACATTCATCCATCATGGAAATCTTGGCCTTGAGACTTGCATCCTGACCAATACAAATACCAATGCTAGCAACGGGATCTGGTGCAGGCACAGGATCAAAACTGAAATCATGCGAAAATCCATCACCTCCACAGTTCTTCTTGGCCACCAATTTCGAAAAGGACGTTTCTTCCGATTCCGTCTTGCGGGTTCCACTGCAAAAGGAGGCTCCGTCCTTGACGTAGAAGGTTCCTCCATGGATCCACTTTAATCCAGCCCAGTTCTCAGGACAGCTCGTCCCTTTCCTGGTCGACGGTCGATTTTCAAAAAGAACATGGGTTTAGGGTTTTAGGGTCATCCCAACAAATTAGGAGGGCCTGACGGTTTCTCGAATGATTCAAATTACTATATGTTAACATGTTTGTGATTAAAATTCTTGGGAGATGTTACACTTTCTGGAATATAGTCACGGAAGTGGAGTTCACCACCTGTTTGTGGAGGATTGAAATGGTCATCCAAGGGGCCATGCAATCCATTTCCATCATGATTGCAGGGAGATGGTCATTCCCAATGACCGGCGTATTATGCCGCCCTAATGACCCCTGAAATCAACCACTCCAATGTTGTGTAAATAGGTCATGCATGGAGTATCTGGGGATAGGGATGGACCAACATCTCCCGGATTTAGGCGGGAGATTGTTCAGGGATGGGAAGATTCCCAAACTGAGAGGGATATGATATAACCGCAAAGATATACTTTAAAAATAGAAATAGAAATAAAACGAATCAAGCACATACTTTGATTTTGTACCCCTATTGCTCAAAAACGGACAAACCAACATATTCCAATCCAACACCCAGTATCACAAAGATTTGAGTCCAGTACCTCTCATTGTCACACCAAGAGATGGCCTTTGTTCCTTCCTTGTGCTGTGCATAAGCTCTCCAAACGCCACCCTCCACGGCATCCCAGCCACCACCACTGCAATGATCCCCTTGGTGGACGCTATACTTATTGCCACCTTTCTTCAACTTCGAGGTGCACACACAGAAGAAGGTGGGTGGATCTGCAAATGCCTTCTGCTCTTGAAAGCTTTGTAGAATCACTTCAGCTGGCCTTGGATCCGCCACGATGAGGGCATCTTCCATGGCACTTCCTAGGCTTCTCAAATAGACCACCAGCATCCGCTCCATGCCGCTGTGAAAGATCTTCGCCACCTGCTGCCTTCGGTCCACCAACAAGAAGTTCGCCGACCTGGCGCCGGGGCATTCGCTGCCGTCGGGCGCGGCGAAGCTGGCGATGCGGGAACGCAAGGCATCGAGATCCCAGGGAATGGATCCCTCACCCATCTTCTGAAGGACCCAACCTTGGATGCGGTACTCGGAAGGGACCCGGAAGCTCTTCCTATTCCGAACAGGATTCACCCAGGGACCGGGAAAAGAAAAAGGACCTTATGACAAAACCAGGCAACCTGCCGGTAAGACTTTGCTACTTTGGCAAAAGCCTGGAGGGATGGCGACGGGAACATCTTTCACATGAAAGGGTTTCTTTCCACGGCGCATCTTGACATGATGGTAAGTAATACCATAGGTCTCCTTGTCTGCAGTGTCCGATTGAGCATCCACGATGCTGAAGGCCAGGCTATTTAAGCCGTCGGTCTTCCATCTGCTTCCTCCAGAGCCGATTTCTCTCAGTTGATCCAGGTTGCGGGCATAGGCACGACTATCGGTGATACGCTTGGTGTGGTTGGCACTGTGCATGAACTTGCCACTAAAGCGGCCAAAGCCTTTCTTCGGACGCTTGATGGACTGCCCTGGTTTTCCGATCTTGGCATCATTCTTGGCACAGTAGGGGTAACAATCGCCATACAACAAGCCATTCAATCGTAAGCGATGGTGAAGCTCATCGTCCTCGCCCCCCCATCCGAAGTAGTTGTTCCCAAAGCCGTTGATCTTCCGCCAATGTCGCAAACTCATGCCCACAATGCCACCTGCGCTGGTGAGATATGGTGTTTTCCAGTTGTAGCGGTCTATCTCGGCACTGAGCTGTGTGGGTACCTCGCAATCGGAGTAATCCACACCCTTCTCTGGCAGGTAGTCAATGTCCTGGATCACAGCGCAGTCAAAGTCAAAGCCCATATCTGGCTTGATATCCTTGGATTTGCAAAGCAAGGACCTGGAATAGACATGTTGAATTAGAAGATATTAGAAGTGTCTTTGGCGGTCAAACATGGTTTATGCATTTATAAGGTTCCTCTGCCAAAGGGTTTGGGGATGTTTGGGGCGTATACTTGGGGCCATAGCAGCCATACTCCAAATGCAAAAACCATATTAAGCCTGCACTTCCAGGCATCAGGAGATGCTGTCGTCAGAGCGGAAGCAATTGCCAGTGCTCCATTGAAGTTCCAACCGCGATTGAATGTCTCTGAATCAAACTGCTCTGCTACAAAGACCACCCAGTGCTGCACGGTCTTGGGAATCCGTCCATGTTCCGAAAACCACCGCCAGTATTGTTTAAAGAGCTTTAAGTGAGACTCCCGATCGCGAAAGGGGATGATCACCACCACCGTCTTGCCCTTATGTCCATCTTTAGGAGGCATTGGGGGTAAGCTAGCAACACTCTGACCCAACTCCTTCGCATATTTCTCCTTGTAATTCACACAGCCCTTGCAAAGGCAATGCTGTTTCGACCCTCCACACCAGCCCAAGGCAGAGCAGCAAGCAAAGTCCCCGGTGGGATCACACTCCGCGACCTTTCCATCTGGCAAAGGTGAGGCATTCGACCCACATCGACGATCCTTGCGCCAGCGCTGCTCGCGCTGGTTAGCGGCCTCTGGACGTCCAGCTCCAGCCGTCGAAGCCGCCGAGCCGCTGGAGCCCGAAGCCGCCAAGACACCGCCGACGCTGCCGGAGGCGTCTCGCGGCTCGCCGACGGAAGCGTCGTCCTTCTTCGGAGGTGACCGCCCTCCTTTCATCTCTTCGTCGAGGTCATGAATGTGTTGCTCAAGTGCCAGCAAGCTTCTCTCTACATTCTTCATGGCTGTAGGGAATTCCATTAGCCTGCTCATCGTGCCAGTGTCCAAGGTGCTTTGACCTCCGTGAACGTGGCTGGGAACCAACTTCGCCATCTGGAAGGTGTGATTGAACGATACCAGGATCGTCAGCCCACATGCTACCACGATGAGAATCAGCAGAATTCGAGTAATGGAAATCATGGCTCTGGGCCAAGGGCTGCAAAAGAAAGAATCCAAGCACCAAAATGAACCAAACCATACCAAACCTTCAATCTGCGACTGAGAATTGCAAAAACCAAGCATCCCAACACTGAAGAACAAGAACATTCCCTTTTCCTAAGCAGTTCTCTCTCATCCTGACTGCACTGCCCTGCAGAGGAACTTGGACAATTAATCAAGTTGGACACGCCAGTGCGGTTGTGGTGCAACAAAAAGATATCTAACAGGAAAGCCCGACCACATTCTACTTTTCGGATCTTTCGGTAGGTATTTATTCATGATGAAGAATCAATATTATTGGTTTCGGTACCAAGAAACATGAAAGCACCTAGCCTCACTCGTTACGAAAAATGGATCCAAAGGTGCAACCACCACTTCTGCAAAAATACACCCCCCCTGCAGGTGTTTCTGCTCCCGCTTCAGTGGCCCCTTTGTAGACCAAGCAGCTGCATCAAACCCAAAACTCGTGCAGCCTTGCGAGAAGTAAACAGCAAAAGCGATCGATGGGGTGGACTAGGGTGATCAAAGTGGTACAGCAAAAGCTTCGCTATGAGACCGATAGAAAAGGTGTCTGCCTCCGCTGAATCCGCCAGGGCATTGGATCCGTAGAATTGATCCCAGGTGTTGCCATCCCGGTTCAGCGATACACCGAGTGTGCTCGTGTCAAACACACGCTTCGAACACACATGTCGAACACACCTGTCAAACAGACAGGCAAACTTCTGTTTGGAGTCCATGCCAAGCGAAAGACTCCGGGGAAACAACATGTTGCCCAGCTGCAGAATCCTAGGACCCTCCCAAAACGACTAAGCCACCTTCCATAGCCATCTCCACAGGGATCGGGTTGTCTCAAAACCCGATCCTGTCCCGATCCAAGTCCTTCGGGCTGATGTGTACGAAACACTGTGGCAAATGGTGTAACTGTATGTCCATTGGTGAACCAAACTGTCAAGCGCATGCAGTGAAACAACATCCAGCAACTACAGGGTGGGTTCTGGTTCAAAAGATTGGGGTGTGCCATTGTGAGCCCCGTTGTGTTCTCCAAACCTCAGCTGAGAGGAACTTGGTCGTGCCCCTGGACATTTGGCTTTGAGTCAACACCAAAATACCCACGTCTGTACTCCGGCCGGATGGTCGTCTTAGCGAACTGCATGATTGCGCGATGCCACAGTTTTTCATTACGCCAGCATAGACCCCAAATAGCAAAAACATAGTTGTAGCACCCGAGAGCGCCATGTTGAAGTAAGAACCCAATAAACACCTTGCCTGGTCACGCTCACATTCGTGTTTTTGGAGAGCACTGGAGGTTTCCGGGAAGCCGACCTTCCATGTTTTTGAAGCTCAGACCCAAACGCATGGAATTGGTGGCGTAAAGACTCTGGAGTTCGACCAAGTTAAACAGAACTTGAACACCAAATGCTGGACTTGGATGGATGGACAAAGTGTCCAATTCGTGCGAAATAGCAACCGTTGGAGCTGACCCATCCGGTCTACCAAACGCGTGCCATACAGTGCGCGACACCGACGCGTGCCACAGGAATCCCACCTTTTCCTTCTCCGACGCGTCGAAGAGGTAGTTCCTGCTGGCCTGGAAGGGCAAACGTGCCCAATGCAGTGCAGTTCATCCAGTGGGGTAGCAGGATGTAGCAGGTGGTGATCGGATCTGACACTATTCTCGGAGCATTGATCGTTCATATCGCTCCAAGGGGACACGGCAGATGGCCAGGTCGACAAGGCAAAAGCAACCACCTGTTAAAAAAAGATGTTTAAAGGAAAACGGTCTTCCAAGAGCCCCTGCTATCCACGTAACCATGAGATGTGTTCGGAGTGTACGTTGATGACAGAACCCCCCCCAAACATGTAGCAATGTAGCTTGGAAAGGAGGAATGCTGCTGCTTGGCAGTTGCAGCTATGGCCTCTTATCATCTCCTATCGCTAAATACAACTAAATCTCAGGGGGGGCCCGTTCCACATGAATGCATTTTGTTACTCCTGAAAACCACATCATGTCACAAACCCGGGCTCCATCTTGGGACAATCAAGCTTGCCTGCGGAATGCTGCCAGCATAGAGGCTGAGACAAACCTGGGGAAAGCAAAAGAGAAGCAAAAGAGATGCTATGCTACGTGGCCGTGGGTGAAAAGTGGGAGACCCTGGTTGACCACCGAAAATGAACAGAATAAACCACCAGGGAGGATTAGGGCTGGGGGTTTTGACCCACACCCACGTCATTTTTTAAAGCTATATACTATATTATATATAGTTATATATAGTTATATATAGAGGTCTGTGACTGTGACCGCTTGCGCCGCTGCTTCCTCTCCTCGCAACAAAAACAGCCCGTTCCACGGTACAAGGGACCAGTCATACGTGTCCGTCACCTTGCGCCTCAGGTGGTCCACCGAGGTGATGGACATCGTGATGGACCCCCCTCGCCCAGCGAGGTCTCAAAATCAAACCGGTTCGCTCGGACCACAGTTCGATCACAGTTCCAGGGTCATGGTTCGAAGGTCCAGTATGGTATCGAGGCACGGTATGTATCAATACATATATCGAGGGCCCCCTTGGCACCAAAAGGGGGGGCCCCCTAATATACATTTACGGCAGCTGAAAACATGGCCATCACTGACCTCAAGCTCGGAAAATATACATTAATTCGATCGAGGGCCCCCGAATTCGATTAATTGCATTAAGCTGTTGGAAGCTGACACACCGCACACAGGTTTTTTTTGCTCTCAATGTGCTGCAGTCCCTGCATGCGCTGCATAGACATGGACATGTGATTTTGATTTCACTACTAACTACTACTAACTACTACCTACTACCTACAACCTACTACCTACTACCTACTACCTACTACCCACTACCCACTACCCACTACCTACCACCTACCACCTACTACCTACTACTACTACTACTACGACTACTACTACTACTACTACTACTACTACTACTACCTGGACTCCGGGAACCAGTGGAACATGAGTTCGGGTCCGGAACGCTTGAAACTCTGGTCGGGCCCCGGATTTGGACTTCATGGACTTCGGGTCCCGAACCAGTGGAACATGAGTTCGGGCCCCGAACTCTACCGACTCTACAATCTTTACAATCGTTACAACTACCTCAGTGCCATTGACAGCTGACACGGCTGACAGCCCAATGTTTCTGAACATTCAACGCCTTCAAATTTGAACAAGAAGCCTTGCCCAAGATCACTAAGACCCTTCTCTTGACTGTAGGTTCCGGGCCTGAATCACCGTGAATCACATCAATGTGGGAACTTCCTTCAAGGCCAAGTCCAGAGTTTCAAGAGTTCCGGACCCGAACTCATGTTCGGGACCCGAACTCTCGGGCCCCGAACTCATGCGCATGCATGTTCACTCTCATGTTCGGCACCCGAACTCATGTTCGGGACCCGAAGTCCATGAAGTCCAAGTCCGGGGCCCGAGTCCAGTGTTTCA